TATAGAGCTGTGACAACAATTTTAGGAGAAGATGCCAAGTGCCTTTGGTTTTCTCATTGTAATCATTACCACAATAAAATAGTTTAAATTGTTGTATTAGGGCTGGTAGAATCCAGACTTAAAAACTCTCACCTTAGGAAGCTCTCGCAAGGTGATGCAGGGTTAGTAAGACATAGCTGTAAGATTATGTATTTTCTCTTGAACTTTTTTGAGGAAACAGAGAATATCCATTAAACAAACAAGTGGATTAATTTAACTGCCAACTGATTTCACAAGAATTGGTTACATAACAAATCAATGTTCAACATTAGGGTCAAAGGCCTTTTCTCCTCCAAAGGGATTTTTTTTTTTTTTTGACAGGGGCAGCCATTTTAGAAAATTGGCTGCTGAAACCAGAAATGAGGATTAAAGCAAATAATCTTAATGCAACAAATAACAGCTGTGAAACCATAATCCATGCCAATCCTGCCCTTCGGTTATTTAATGAATGCATTAGCAGTGTTTTCCTCTCTGTGAGCACAGGCATTCTCCCTGAAGTATATTTTAGTGACGAAAACAGTATTGAGAACATGCAGCCTTGTGTCCACAACAGATCTGTTCATGGCAAGAAATTCTTCAGGAGGAATAAAGCATATTTCCACCTCAATAACTTTGATTGGAATCTCAAGCCAATCAGCTGCTCTGGTCAAAAGCTATTTTATGGATTTACTTAGGGGTTCAACATTTTCCTTTCCTGACTTGATGATACTCATGTATCAGTGCAGCATGTTGCTTGATGTTGCCTAACAACAGAATACAAAAATGATCTTCTTCAGTAGAGGAAAATCTTGGAATCTGGACCAAAGTTGACCCAATGTCTGAGACTGTGGTTTCCTCTTTTCCATCCACCATAACTATGGAAGAGCAGCTGATGTCAGTTAAATATCTCTTAAGGAAATTTTTTAAAATTAAAATTGGAAAATGGGGGTCAATGACAATTTTTTAAAAATCTAATATTTTTCAGAGGTAGGATAAAATTGATTAATTTTCAGGCAGGTAGTGGAAGTGATGATACAGTAGAGCTGCTTCTGTGTTTCTTTCTCAGACAGTTTTCCTGGCTGTTTCTACCCCACACTCTCCCCATGGTACGATATCATTTTACGAGGCATTTTGATGCCTCTAAGCAGCCAACTCTTGTAGTGGAGGGAAACATCTGTAGAAAACCCAAATATTCTACCCATACTCATCACCCCAGCAAGTTAGGCTTACACATCAGGATAAGCCATGGTTGGCTTCAATCAAGGATTGTTAAATATGTCACAGGGTCTTGGTTCCATGCCACATCTAAAATTGGCTTATTTGGTTCTTGTTTACTTTATTCAGTTGCTTCAGACTCTTTATGATCTGATGGAGAACAATTCAACCAGATTGTATAATTGTCACTGTTCTTTTGTGTTTTCATAAACCTGTGCTAGGGACATTGGTAAAAAAGTCTGATCATCTTTTGCATCTTCTATTGCCTTCAATTTTTTTTTTTTACCAATATGAGGGTCTTTTCAAAAGACTGTCGTATTATGTTTCCAGTATAACATTTAAGCTTTAGCTTCATCAGTAGGGGCTCTAATAAAGTAAAGCAGCAAATTCTTGATCAAACTAGTCCTGTTATTTCCTGCTCTTCTGAGTTTTGGCTGAGAAGTTCCAAAATTTTTTAGAACATTCACCCTACTTGGATAGCTGCTGGATCTTTAGAGTTTCGCTCAGTTCCAATAACAGGAATCCCTTCCTCAGATCTTGTTTGTTTTTATTTTAACATTTCCCCATACTCTCACACCTCATCTCAGCATCAGGTAGTCAATATTTTGATTGTTGGATTTTATTAACAATTAACATGAAATTTCATTGCATTCAGCTCTCAAAAGAATACCACTGTGCATATCCCCACATACACATACATATATGACACAGAGAAACATCACAGTCTAGTTCGAATGTATGCATATACATGACGGGAAAAAAGAATTCACTTTTGTTCTTGCATTCTTTTGGGAATATGGCCCTTGATATACAGTTGAAAGGCCTTTGGCCCAAAAAATGTTGTGTATCCCACAGATACAGCATTGCTGAGTTAATATTTACCATATGAACAAGATTTCTTACTAGGATTTGCTTGGCATGGTTACATATTTTTTGCAGATCTGTCTGAGAGCTGTAGGTTAGAAGTCATCTTCATTGTACCTAATTGATAAATGCGGTCTTTCCATGCCAGATAAGAATGTTGCCAAACTGAGACAATTCTTGTGTGGATTTGTAAATAACCTCATATAACACATCAGTCTAAGCTTCAGCTGTCCATGGGAACAATACAAAACTACAGAGAGATTAAAAATGAACTGAATTCACATTGATCTTTGTTATGCATGACCTATAACAGGGAAGCACCACCCTTATGATTCTACTTAATCTTTTCCTGCCCTTCAGTATTATTGATCATGGAATCTTTCTGGATTACCCGCAAGGATTGGGTCAAAGGCACTATGTTGGGGGAAGATCAAGTCATATGGCCCTCCATTGTGGGGTGTCATATTGTTCAATATTTTCTTGTGTAACCTTTACACAAGAGGTCATCTGCCAACATAGGCAGGTATCCTTAACATTCTGCTGATACTCAGTTTGACATCTCCAATGCAGACAGAGCATGATGCTCTGAAGGCCTTGCCCTGGTGTCTGGAAGTTATTATGGTTTGGAAAGGGATAAGCAGGCTTAAATCTATGCATCAAAGTCAGAATGTCTAGCTTGGAGATGGGGGAATATAATGATAGGATAATAAATTAACTAGTCAAGCTACTCTTTCATGCCACCCAAAACCTGCTGCCTCAGTCAAACTAATGGCAGAGAAGTCTCCTCTGATGGGAGAGAAAAAAAACTACAAATAGACTTTGATGATGAAATGCGGGCTAGATTTCATAACCTATCCACCCCTGCCATAAACTATAATTTATAAAACCATAGTAAGTGAATACATTCAGTGTGTTAAGTACAATCAAATTAGTTGCATCAAGGTTTAGTATCATGCAAAACCCAGGGATTTGTTTTCTATCACAAACACATTTGGTCCAACGAATTGAAGCAGGCTATAGAAAGCATTCTATGTATTATTAATTAGTGATTACATGGCTATTGCCATATAATTATTTAAAATGTTACCAGGAATATAATTTAACTAGAAGTGTTGATGCACTCTCTCATAGTCTGCCATCAAGCATCTGTGAGTAATACTTTGCAAAATGAAACCATTTCTATGTGTTTTCTCGACTGATGATAAAGTGTAATCCTAAAATGGATGTATGCTCAGAGCAGTTAGAAAAGATATGCAATAATAATTAAACATCTAGAAAGATAAAAGCTTAGTAGGTTCCTCAAGTAATATAGATGAGATTCGTAAAAGAAAATTTTTAGGAACTATACTCTGACATTTATTACGGCTCGGTTTTAATAAGTGAGTCATCAGTGGTTTGTTTATTTGTTTGTTGTTGAGCAGTTGCCAAGACTCCAGCAATTAATGTTAACCTTAAGAGAATAAAGTCATATCTCTCTCTCTCTCTCTCTCTCTCTCTCTCTCTCTCTCTCTCTCTCTCTCTCTCTCTCTCTTTCTCTCTCTGCGTGTGTTCGGTAGGTGGAATGTAGCACTATGCCACTCCTACTATGTGCTGGATTATACATGCAAGAATTAACAAATGGCTGATTCATTCCTTTTGCTTCTCTTTTCCTTGCTTTTTACAACATGCATTTATGAAATATTGGAGATTGAATAGTTTAAAAGACAGTATGTGGAACTAGTAGAATTCAACCCATGTTGAAGTTTATCGAAAACCATTACACAACATTAGCTAATTTTACCTAAACTGTATCTCACCTTTCCACAGTAGGAAAGGGAAGCAGTACCAGCATATTTTTCCCCATGCGCTGTATTTACTAATATGTAATTATCTGGTGGTGAATAACACATATTCTGTATGCCATGTAGTTCTACAAAGCTATGAATGGACATCTATGCAAGATGGAACGGGCAGAGGCAGGAGAATTTGTTTTAGAGATTTTAGTTTACGCAACATATGAAAGATTCCTGCATGAGTGCTTCTAAGAAGATTTGACAAGGAACTGTTCTCAAAACATGACATGATTCTCAAAACAAGAGATATTGTGCTCAGATGGAAAAATACCAAGAGACATGAGAAAAGTAACAAGGTGGGACTAGCCAAATCTTGTCAGAAATTATAAAAGCATTTTTGAGTCATTCCATATTGAGAAGGTGTCATGCAATGTGAATTTCCTGCTATAAATCTTTTGGAATTTAAACACCTGGCCAGCTAATAGGTGATTAGATGTGGGCATGTGTGTATGCTAGAGAGCGAAGTGCTGACTTCAGAAAGTGAGGAATAATATTTGCAAATCTACATTTGCTTTTTTGTATCTTGAGTTTCCAGATAAATAAAAACAGGTAGCATTGATAGTGTTATAAAGACCTTTTTTACAATATTTCATGTTGATACTGTCAGCTATCATATATAGGACTGGTTAGAACATAGATGAATAGGCCACAGTTGGCTGGATTCAGCCATAAAGTACAAATTTATGCAAAAAGCAAAGCCAAAATCACATAAATCACATTGGGTCATTTGTTCTATGTTCATGTGTATACAATATGTGAACTCAACCATTGGCTTTGTATAAAAAATATATATAGTCTTAATCCCAAATACAAGAATTTAAGTAGAGGATGATTGTGAAGCTTTCTTTTTGATTCAGTTTGTTTTTGTATTTTGCTCCACTGGTCTCTAGTATATTCTTTTAATAAGTTGCTTTTTAGTTATAAGCTGCCCGGAATAATTTAAATAAATAAGTAAATAAACTTAGAAAATGATACAGAGTAAGAGTAAGCAAACAGAACAAATTCAAATCATCAAGATGGAAAAGTAAATTCCACCCAAGAGATCATTTGCCTGTCTACGTTTTATTTTAGTCTTCCATCTTTGAGTGAGAAGCTTGTGGCCTTTCAGATCCTGGAGAATTACAATTCCCAACAGCCCCAGCAAGCATGGCTAATGATGAAGCATGCTGGATTCTGCAACTAAGCAACATCTGGAGGGTCAGAAATTCCAAACTGGGAAGCTAATTAGAAGATTTGCAGAGAGGAGGCTAGATAGATGCCCATAGGAAGAGAGTAACGGTGAGTCATCAAACTGTTCTTTATTTTGGTAGAATAAAACGTCTAGAAATAATATGCTCAGTTGTAATACTTTGCTGGGAAAAGATTAATCTTTCCCAAATTAAGATCCAAGGCAGACTAGGATCTCTGCCAGAGGATCAAAACAGAACCACAAGTAAGTTGACAGTAGAGCAGGCACTTTGAAAGGTACCGAGTCAGGAGAAATTTTTAAACATTCCCCATCTTTCTTGGATGGGCCATACAGATGTCCAAGTGACCGTTCCAGTACTGAGGTGGTAGCAAAACCTTCATTCCAGGAACTTTGATCTCAAAAACCAACATCTCTATCTCAGGAATAAACATCGGAATCCCCAGGATCAATGTATCCTATATACCCTCCATGGTGCCCACCAGGATCCCTGATTTTTTTTTTTTAAAAAAAAGATCTTTTTAATTAAAAAAAGGAAGGAGTAAGTTGCCGGGCTGCAAAGCAATGCCTGTAATACAGTTGAAAGCATACCTTTGGCAGGCTAAAGTTCATCGGCTGGCAGAGTGCTAATTCACCTGTTGCTAAAGGAGTGTTTGATAACAAGTGTGACATGCTGATTTGGGGAGTGTGGCATACCACAGGCTCTCAACATTCCAAAAGTGTCTTCATCCCCCTCGCTCTCCAATTTTATGTTTATTTATAGCGAAGTAGAATTATTTGCAGCATTTCATGCATGCCTACATGTCCTCACTGCTCAAGAGGACACCAGAAGATGCTCGTGCAAGAGTCTGAAATATCACTGTCTAGCCTCAACAGCTAAAATATTCCATACTGAAGTTTCCTTTTATGAGCACAGCTTGCCTTGGGGTGGGCGAGTTGAATACCAAAGTGGGTGTATATATTATCCGCATTGCGAGTCAGAAATCCTGCTTCCTTATGAGGTTTTGCAATCTTGTACACGCAGCATAAAATAAGAGTCACAAATTGCACCAGCCAAAGTTTTTTTTAATAAGCCACCGTGCCCTCATTTTGCACACTACATCAAGTAATAAAACATGGTTTTTAAACCACAGTAGCAGACATCTCATACAATACCTATATACATTATAGCATAGGATGATACATGAATTCAAACCATAGGTACAGACTGTCCATACATAATGCATTGGACATTTTACACTAAGATTAGCTCTGAGTACAGAACTATCAGAAGTATCTAAAGTAGATCCAGGCACACTATCTACAAGTAAAGAAACAGTCTTGAGGAAGATATTTGTGTTGAAGAAAAATCTTGTTTAACAGAGGCCATTTTGACATGTTTATTGCTTTAGGCAATAAACATCTTCCAACAGAAACCTAGGCTCTTAAAGAAATCCAGTGTGGTGGTTTTATTTATTTATTTATACAATTATTTATAGATTGCCTGGTTCCACTCAAGGCTCAAGGAAGTTTACTGTCAGAGAACAACAAGCCAATAAAAACAATACAATTTTTATTATTTTATTGTTGAGACTATAGAAAGAGTACAGAGAAGAGCAACAAAGATGATTAGAGGACTGGAGGCTAAAGCATATAAGGAACGGTTGCTGGAATTGGGTATGTCTAGTTTAAAGAAGAGAAGGATGAGGGGGACATGATATCAGTGTTCCAATATCTCGGGCTGTCACAAAGAAGAGGGAGTCAAGCTATTCTCCAAAGTGCCTGAAGGCAGGACAAGAAGCAACAGATGGAAACTAATCAAGGAGAGAAGCAACCTAGAACTAAGGAGAAACTTCCTGACAGTTAGAACAATTAAGCAGTGGAACAACTTGCCTCCAGAAGCTGTGGGCACTCCAACACTGGAAGTTTTTAAAAAGAGACTGGACGGCCATTTGTCTGAAATGGTATAGGGTTTCCTGCCTGAGCAGGGGGTTGGACTAGAAGACCTCCAAGGTCCCTTCCAACTCTATTATTATTATTATTGTAGATAAAAGGTGGTAGAGTTTGACCAAGGACACTCTCATTTGTGGAAAGCAGAAGTTCCAGATAGGACGGTAAAAAGTTCAAAGGACCGCTAGAGAACCTTAATGCCATCTATCATCAGTTCTTTGAAACCCAGATGGGATAATCCTATTGAAAGCTCACTGGTTTCTAGGTGGGCTCAGTCAAGAAATGGACACACAGTGAGCCAATAATGTTCTTTTGTTGCAAGGGGAAACAGCAGATTCTGTGAAAACCTAGCTGAGTTTCTTTCTGTCCCATTTTATATCCCTCCCATATCAACTTGGGGTGACTTTATTTTTTACATTGTTTCTTTTCTTAAGCTGAATGATGTTTTTTGAAAGTCACCCCACCCCACAATGGTTCCCTTATTGTATTCCCAAGACCAGGTCTACATTCCTGCACATTGGGTGATCTTAAACCAGTCACACTCCCTCAGTTTAATCCATTTTACAAGGTTGTGATAAAATTGGAGATGTAAATCCAACGAACATACAGGCAGTATGACTTAGAGCCATTCATTTAGTGACCATTCAGAGTTACAACAGCACAGAAAAATGTGAGTTACAACTGGTCCTCATACTTAACAACCTTTGCAGCATCCGAAGTTGGTCATGTGAGCAAAAGTCAGGCTCTTGGCAACCAGCTTATATTTGTTGCAGGTTGCAGGCCCTGGGGTGATGTGATCATCATTTGCAAGTGTCCTAGCTGGCTTCGCAATAAGCAAAATTAATGGGGGAAGCCAGACTGACTGCACAACTCACCGTAACAACTGCAGGGGGATTCACTTAATAACTGTGGCAAAAGAGGTTGTAAAATCAAGCTTGACTCACTTAACAACCAACTTGCTTAGCAACCAAAGTTCTGGTCCCAACTGGGACTGTAAGTAGAAGACTACCTGTGCAAACAAATAAAAGACAATTGTCCTCAACTCACAGATGAGGTAGCAGTTTCTAAGCTGTTGGCAAGACACCATTTGTATTTCTGGTGGACTTTATATAGGCTATTTGTGGAATGTCTACTGGCTACCCATTCTGCCATTTTGTAAAGCAGACGGACATGCATTTCTGATGGAAAATGAACCTTGTAAGATGCTGTCCAAATCTGCTTTGTTATTTTTAGCTCTGTAAAATAGAATAGAATAGAATCTGTCTCCCTTTCTGAAAGAAGAGGCGATGTTGGTTTTAGGTATATGCAATGAGTTTTTCTGTGCTCCGGAAGGAACTACAGGTAGTCCTCAACGTACGTCCACAACTGAGCCCAGAACTTATGTTGCTAAGTGAGACATTGGTTGAGTGAGTTTTGCCCCATTTTACAACTTCTTTTGCCACATTTGTTAAGTGAATCATTGGAGGTGTTAAATTAGTAACACGGTTGTGAAGTGAATCGGGCTTTCGCGTTGACTTTGCTTGTCAGAAGGTCACAAAAAGGTGATCACGTGACCCCGGGACACTGCAACCCATCATAACTATGAACCAGTTGTCAAGCATCTGAATGGAAATCAAGTGACCACAGGGATGCTGCAATGGTCATAAGCAGGGCTTTTTTTTTTTTTTTTTGCCATAGAACGCCCAGAACGGAATTCCGGCATCTTTTTTGGATGGAACCTTGTAGCGTAGGCAAGGCGGATTGTATGACGTGTGTGAGTTCCGGCACCTTTTTTTTTTTTTTTAGAAAAAAAGCACTGGCTATAAGTGTGAAAAATAGTCATTGGTCACTTTTTTCAGTGCTGTTTTAACTTCCATCAGTAAATGAACTGTTGTAAGTCAAGGACCGCCTGTATTTTTCACCAATCTCTGCTACTGAAGGAAGTCTTCCAATCTGTGTCTTTCTAAGTTCGTTCTTAGAAAGGTTGTGCCTTAGTTTGCCATTATGTGCCAAAGGTGTTTTTCCAGTCATCTTAAGAATAAGTTATTATGACTATTATTATTTGAAAACCAAAAGTCAGGTCATTATTTTTAGCTAAAGTGCAGAGACCCAAATTTCTTCATAATGCTGGCCATCCTGGTCAAAGCGTTATAAGCATAAAGATCACCTAGGAAGAAGAAAGAATTTTATTTTGAGCCACATTCCCATTTTCAAAGGGAGAAAGTTACTGACTCTATTTTTAGCCAAAGAGTGAGTAAAGTGTAACTTAATTTTTTTCTTTCAAGCACAGTTTAAAGGGGAAAAGTGGCTGATTACTATACAAGAAAAAACAACACCTGTAGGGATGGCGAGGAACATAAAAACGTAAGTTTACTAAGAAATAGTATTTCCAAAAATCATGTTGACAAAATAACAGCAGGTTAATCTTTGATCAAAGCCATAAATACCAGCAAAGGCTTAATAAATATCAAATGTAATGTTGCTGCCTGAGAGGTAAGGCCCCCTTCCTCTGTATGATTAGGTTGTTACATCACACTGATCCATAACATGGTTTAATTTAACATTCAGCACAGAGCTAAATCATGGCTGATGTCTCCTGTGTTTCTAGATCCTTGTTGCACAAATCAGACTTAACTTTAGCTTGGTTCACATGCTATTCCATGCTACAATTTGTTTAATCATGGTTTGTTGGTTAAGCCACAAGAGCTGCACTGACACATTATGTCATTGTGGTTAATTAAATGAACCAGGGGGAAGCACAATGTTTAAATCCACTCTGTGCTTCCAATCATTGGATTATTTAGCCTAATATTGTCAGTCCCAGGGTTTCAGATAGGATTTTTCCATTTTTCCTCAAGGGAAAGGTTAGAACATGAGCTCTTCTATTCAGATAGGTTCTCCTGCTTGAGCAAGTGGCTGGACTAGAAGACCTCCAAGGTCCCTTCCAGATTCTATTCCAGTGATAGCGAACCTTTTAGAGACCGAGTGCCCAAACTGCAACCCAAAACCCACTTATGCATGGTTGAGTGCCGGGTGGGTGTGGCTCATTGGCTGGGCGTGGCCCATTGGCTGGGTGTGACTGCGGTGGTAACGGCAGACTGGGTGGGACTAAAAAGTTCAATCAATCAATTCCAACTTTGCAAGATCTTTTTTTTCCCCACAAGAAGTTGAAATTGATTGAACCCTTTTTTTTTTTTTTGCACACGGTGGCGGAGACCTAAAGCGAAAAGGTTTTATAAAACCCAGCTGAAGGCCTAGGACTGGGACGATGGCACACATGCCCACAGAGAGGGCTCTGAGTGCCGCCTCTGGCACCCGTACCATAGGTTCGCCACCACTGGTCTATTCTATTCTATTCTATTCTATTCTATTCTATTCTATTCTATTCTATTCTATTCTATTCTATTCTATTCTATTCTATTCTAGTATTTTAGATGCTTTGCTGCTGAGCTAAATCCTGAAGGCAGAAGAGCCACTATATCCAGTTTCTAGTTCAGTGTCTATAGAGTCCTCAGTTATCCAGGTCATAGCTGTCCCAAAGGTACTTTTTCAAGAGCCACTTGGACTATTTGTTTTTTTCTTGAAGAAGCTTCCTCAGTTCTGACTGAATGGGAGGGGGGAAAGAAATGTCTAGCTCAAGTTAACGCTATCAACCCTGACTGTTTAAAAAGCTGTGCTCCCTATGAGTCTTCAATTTCCTGTTAATATATTACATTTTAATACTACATATATTAAGCCATCATTCAGGCAGCATGGCCAAATGAGAACAGAAAGTGAGACACAGACATAGATTGGATTCACCCAACAGAGTGTGCCCCTAATATGGTTTGTTTAGTTTGGTCTAGTTTATTCATAAGAGTCAATGGTTGTTTATTCAAAAGACCATGTTTAAATGAATTGTGGCTTAGTGCAATGCATCAATCCGATAATAGTTTCTTCATTTTTATGATGCCTTGGTTGGGTTACTGTATTGCCTTCATGACATAATATTTATTTTTCTCAACTTATTTTATTGTCAACAGAATTTTTTAATATTGTATTTCCTTATGGATGAATAAGACTAACTGAAGCTTTTTGTCTAACTTGGAAATTCTACTCCAAAATTCTGCATGCCTATGATTAAACACAGAGCGCCATCTGCTGGTTATTTTCTGCCTAGCAACAGTCTTAAATTGACTAATTTCAAAGGTGTTTCAAAGTTAAAGGGTCAAAAGTTCTCCAGCCTCTCATACACATTTCACACTAGCCTATTTATGAATCTAGTCAACCCTTTAAAAATTCAATAACAAGCTATTAAAGCAATTAAAAATACAGCCCCTCAAGGCCTACTTATAACAGATCAAAATTGCTAAGATGCTGAATCTCTAAAATATATCCCTCGCTAATGTATGGCTTTGAGATCATGGGGCCTGTCAAAAAGACAGAAAATTCAGCTCAGCACATTTCAGCCAATATGATTCATCCATAATCAGTATGTTAATCTTACAGGTGACTCTTGACTTACCTCTCTCTTGTTATGCTTCCCAATTGTACTTGGCAGGCACAATAACAATGAGACATCTGCCAGAAAAGGAACTATCTCCAAAGTTGCAAACTCTTCAAAGCCCCCACAGCAGAGGGAATTTTGGCAGATATCGCTTTCATGAGAAGTTTCCAGGAATAAGAATCTATCAAATCTATAAAACAAAATTGCTGTAAAAATTAAAATCAAAGAAAACTGTTTTATATCAGGGTAGGGCCAGGCAGGGCCACAAGTGTAATTTTGGCAAGATGGGGCTTATCCCCCTTGGTCTTCTCATGAGTTTTAAATTGGGTTCAATTGTCCTAAACTATAGTTTAAATAAACTACAATGGATTGAATCTACAAGCACACAATCAAAACTGAATAATCTACACTAGGAATGATTAGGGTTGTCACACTAAGCCATCATGTGGTTTATTTAATGTAGGTATCGTACGTACAGGATGTATACCCTACTAGTGTAGTTTATAAGCCATATCCTATGTCTCATATTCTTAGATCCTTGTTGCACAAATATGATTGTTTAGCCATAGTTTGTTGATTAGGCTGCACCGTTATACCATAATACAGAGGTGTCAAACTGCCGGCCCTCAGGCTGGATGCATCATAGCGAAACTGCGCCCACCCCATTGCCAGCAACGGCAAAAAAGTCACAATACATCGCAACATGTCACGTGATATTGCGAGTTTGACACCCCTGCCATAATATATGGTTTTAAAACTTCCTTAGTTGGGTTCATACTAAACCAAGCCAGTTTAATTCACACTGGTTGGATTCACAGAACCTACTTAGTTTAACTGAACAAGCTACAATTAAAATTCTAGGTTCTAAGCAAAAGCTTACTGTGGCTTTTTATGTAACCGCCATATCATTCTCTGAAGAGGCAATATCTCCTTGCAAAGTTCCCACATGGCCTGAGATCAGAAAGTTTAATAAAAGATTCCAGCTTCGTATTAGGAGCTTGCTAGAGATGGTACGTCACCTCAGACCTCACCTATAGCACAGGTGTCCAATCTTGGCAATATTAAGACATGTGGACTTCAAGTCCCAGAATTTCCCAGCCAGCATGGTTGTGTTTTTGCTTGGGACCTCAACAGTTTCATCTTTACCTGTTTATCAGGTACAACTGAAATGGGAACTGAGGCTTTAGAGCAGACAGAGCAACCTGCCTTCCTGGTTGGTTTTTCATCTCTCACTCATCCTCCAGAACAATAAGCTCCCAAACCCTGTTAGCTGAGGTTCATTGAGAAATAGGCACATAATCTGGCATGCTGATGGAACAAGTGGCTAATTATATATTTAACGCAACAAGTTTTTTCCTCTGCCATCTGTCTTAAATTAAAATTAAAACTGCATCATTAGTACCACATGAATCTGTACACTGATGTTGCAGACCTAGTTGATCAAATCCACCCATAAACTAGTTTGACTGTGTTGCCCAAGAGAAAATGCACTCACAAGCAGTGGAAAGCATTGTTAAGTAATATCTGCAATTAACTGTGAAATGTTTGCTATAATAAAAACATTATTTACAGGGCAATTATATCACTTTATACTTTTCTTTTTTAAAAAGAAAATGTATCGCTGCCTTTCTGATAGCGATACATTGGACAAACAGCCTTGGGACATCAGCCAGGAAAGGCATTATGAGGATCTAACCCAGAGAAACTTAAAAATGTTTCCAGAACCACATGATTTAAATGAGCCGCCAGTGTTTTCCAGTACAAAGAGTACTGTGAAAGGCTGAAGAAAGTTAAAAAGACATTTAGCTACATGTGACTTTTAAGATGTAAAGGAACTTCTCAGTCAACTAAAGGCTGATGGAACTTACTGTTAACAACAGCTGAAGGACCACATATAACCTTCTTTTTATAGAAATTGCTCTCGCTAAATATATATTTTCAAGAAATGGTAAAAACAGGTGTAATTTAAGTTTGTAAGTATGATAATAACTACTCTGTGTGCCTTTTTAAAAAAGAGATATTAAATATTTAAACTTCGTTTAAGAAGTCTTTTTTTGTGCTTTCTTTCTTACATTCCTCTGCCTGACAAAGATGCACAGAGGTCCTTAAATTGCACATAGTCCACCCCAGTGCTTTTTTTGTAAAAAAAAAAAAAAAGTGACGGAACTCACATACGTCACACAACCCGCCTTGCCCACTCTACAAGGTTCCATCCAAAAAAAGTGCCAGAACTCCGATCTGGGTGTTCTATGACAAAAAAAAAAAAAAAAGCCCTGGTCCATCCCCCCAAAAGAGTGTACATTATTCCACAGTGTTTCTCCAACAGTCACCGCTAGAGCTATCAGGTCTGGGTTAAAATATGGAATGACCACTAGATGGCAGAAAAAAGAAGATTTGAACTCTCTTTTGCCATCTCTTGGTCATATGTATATTTGCAGACCAGATTTGGTCCAAGTTGTTGTCAAATTGTAATGTTTAATTGGACAGATTATTAAATATAAGGGTAGTAAGGATATTTACTTAATTTTGCTTCATTTTAATTAAACTTAAGCGAAACAAATTCAGCTTTTATCCTGGATGCATTCACTTCTTTGACTTTTCCTTCATGTACAATACTTGGAATCTAGTCTCTATTTGACCTGAAGTCATATTGGCACTCATTCAGGGGAACCCAGACTTTGTACTTGGCCCATCACCAATATAAGCCATCCGTGCCTTTTTGAGTGCATGCATTTTCCAGCTTTGATTCAAAATGGCTCTTTTTCAACTACACCCTTCAGAGCAGATGGTCTTCTGCCTTTTGTTTCATTCTGATAGCAGCCCAGCACTGATAGGTTGCAGTGCCTGGGGTATTTCCTCCACTCCAGTGTCTGGTTGCTTCCATGTGCAGCCAATTTGTCTTCAGTTTTTGGACTATGTTCTCTGTGTTTTTTTTTTTTAATGGGCAGGGGATTTACAAATGTTAGCAAATTTCCCCCAACAATTTGGGTCCTTATTTTATCAACTTCGGAAGGATGAATGGCTGAGTCAGCCTTGAACCCCGTCAGGATCAAACTCCTGGCTGTGGGCAGAATCAGCCTGCAATACTGCATTCTAACCACTGCACCGCCATGGCTCCATCCATAATCTGGTGGTTCATATAACAATGGGCCATTAAGTCATGTCTTTCCTGTCTTTCCCTTTAGAACAGACATGTCAAACTCGCAACGTCATGTGACATCGCACAATGTATCAGGCCGGTTTTGTCATTGCTAGCAATGGGGTGGGCGCGGCTTCTGGATGACGCATCCGGCCCATGGGCCGGAAGTTTGACAGCCCTGCTCTAGAAGTCAAAACTCCCTTCAAACCTTATATCTCCCATTGGGTCCCTTATTGCGCTGAGGTGGCGCAGCAGTTAGAGTGCAGTACTGCAGGCCACTTTAGCTGACTGTGTTCAGCAGGTCAGCGGTTCAAATCTCACCGGCTCAAGGTTGACTCAGCCTTCCATGCTTCCGAGGTAGGTAAAATGAGGACCCAGATTGTTGGGGGCAATGTAAAATATATATACATTACTTACTGGTGTACACCGCTTAGAGAGTGCTTGCACTTAAAGCGGTATATAAGTCTCATAAATAAATTTCTGCCCAGGATGTATGTCCTCCCCCTGCTTTCTACCCATTATACATAGTACTGCAAAATTGCACTTCCCTACATTTTTGTTTTCAATCCGTCAGTTGCAACATAGGCTACAAAGTCTCAATGGATGCTATTTTTGGGTTGCTGTGAATCTCAACCAGCCGTTCTTTTTCCTACAAAAGAACTGTTTCTATGGATGTACATGGAAGTTAGGAATATAGGAAGAATCCATTTCCTTTCCTTTGACCAGTGTAGCATTACAATCATAATGCTATAATTTTAATATGGTTCCCCCCCCCCAGCATCTCCAGTCTGTCTGAACTGTATTACATAGATAGAAGAATAAGAATGAAGACCTAGCCCATGGGTAGGCAACCTCAGCTCTTTTATGACTCATGGCTTCAATTCCCAGAATTCCTGAGTCAGCTATGCTGACTCAGGAATTCTGGGAGTTGAAGTCCATGAGTCATAAAAGAGCCGAGGTTGCCCACCCCTGACCTAGCCTGTTCTTTTTCTCTCCTAAGGTTGCTGCGGGATCTACCTACTTCAGTCTCTACCTGTTGGTTCTCAGGGCCACTCAACTTTTTGACAGCAGGAGAGTCGGGACTCAGAGTATCAGAATGTGTATTAGATGTAAAAAGGTTACAACAGAGTAAGGGCCTTATTCAAAATAGGCCAATGGGCCTATAAAACAACTCTATGTTGCTTTTACTGAGCTTATCTCTGCTACTGAGTCCATTGACAGGTCTTAGCTGTGGGAGAAACCAGCTGGGACAGGCTCATAGCTATATGTCTTATAAAGTCACTACTTACATTCCCATGGAAGCTTTACTTTATTTTAAAGCTCTGGTCAATATTATATATCAATAGCATCTTAAAAAGATTTGATGTGTAGTTTGCTGACCATCTGTGTTTCCCCTGCTCCCACTAAAGCTATTCTTTATTTATTTTTTCTAATTGGCATGAGCTTGTAAGCTTCAGCTCATTATGACTGAAGTTTTTTTGCCAGTTTGTCGGGAAGAATTATAGTTTCGGGTGAACTGGTGCGTGATGAGCAAGGAGGTCAGCCTATCTTTTGTGTTTGGCTCCATATGATTTGCAATGATGCCTTTTAAAACTAACTAATTATAGCAAGTTTTTCTGAAGATCATTATAGCTAAAGATCGTACTGTTTACCATTGTTATGGTTGGCTACACAGCCAGCCTGACAATAATAATAATAATAATAATAATAATAATAATAATAATAATAATAATAATAATAATAATAATGTTGGAAGGGACCTTGGAGGTCATCGAGTCCAACCCCCTGCTCAGGCAGGAAACCCTACACCATTTCGGACAGATGGCTGTCCAGTCTCTTCTTAAAAACTTCCAGTGTTGGAGCATTCACCACTTCTGGAGGCAGGTTGTTCCATTGGTTAATTGTTCTAACTGTCAGGAAGTTTCTCCTTAGTTCTAAGTTGCTTCTCTCCTTGATCAGTTTCCATCCGTTGCTTCTTGTCCTGCCTTCAGGTGCCTTGGAGAATAGCTTGACTCCCTCTTCTTTGTGGCAGCCCCTGAGATATTGGAACACTGCTATCATGTCCCCCCTCGTCCTTCTCTTCATTAAATTAGACTGGATTTGGCATTTTTGTCTGCCTATCGAGACTTTCCTAAGGACTTGGGAGAGACAGATGTTGGTGTTTAATATTAAAGGTATCATGGACAGATGTAAGCTGTTCCAAGTAAAACTGCCTTTTGCAATTGTCAGTGCCAATGGTGTTCCAGATTTTTGAGATTGCATTGCATTACTATTGGTACTACCTTTGCTTCCTTTTATCACAACTGCTCTACTTTGGTTTGCAGCTGTTTATATTTTGTGATTTCCTCCAGTTCTTTCTCTTCTATTCTGCTTTCTCCCGGTACTGCAATATCTGCTTTTCAGATTGCTTTGTTGTCTTTTGTATCAACAGTTATTGAGTCTGTTGTGTTAAATTTCACTGCAGATGGATATTAAGTATGAAGTAGACGATATGTTTATCCTAAGATCTAGGATGATGTTTGCAGGACTAAAGCTGGATGGATCTAATCTGAAGATGCACAGGAAAAAATAACCTCTAGAAGATGAGAATCATCTTGACTGCTGTTTGTATTTATTTTTGGGGCGTTTTTAGTATTTTATTGTTTTTAACTGTTTAATTGTTTTATAATTTTAGAATTGTAAGCTGCCCACAGTCACTTGGTTGAGTTGGGTGGTTATAAAAATAGAATGAATGAATTATATAAATAAATAAATGAGAGGGGTAATATTAACTTCAATCTCCTTCCCCCTCTAAATAGGTGATCATTTGCCTTGCTTGACAAGGATGATAAGTGTTGTAGTCCTACCTAGCCGGGGAAGACTCAGCCATAACAATTTCAATGAAAGATATAAATAAGAATCTTTGCAATGTTATTTCTCTTAACAGTTTCCACAATGGGCTGCAATTCTTTCTTTTTTCCTTGATGGCCACTTGCAATTTTCATTCTCATCAATCCTTTCTATTTATGTGTTTGAAACCAAATAGGATAGAAGAGCTGGCAGCAAGAACACATACGCGCGTGTGTGTGTGTGTGTATCTGTGGGTCTGTGGGTCTACTGTACAGTACATATAGACATGCATATGTATTTAGAGAATATATGTATATACATATTCTCAATATGTTCAAATTGATGCAAAAACCTGCATGTTGTGGCATTTCCCTCCTTTTTATCCTCTTGCTATACAGAAAACTCTCCAAAGTACAAGACAGTAGCATATTCCCAAGTGCCTTATTAGGAATTAAAGTAGAACAGAGGAACAGATGAAGAAAGCCAGAGTAGGGTTTGTGTGTGGGAATTTGTTCCCCTTTTGCCCTAACCAGAAGTTAAATGGCTAAATTTCTTCAAAACATTAAAAGCAGTTTAGGGTGACAGATGATGATCTGATAAGCTATTTTACGTTTTCCACAGATTACTCAGGCAATCATTAAAGCAAGCGGTACATGAAAAACATAAGCGACTCCAGAAATGGAGGAATCACTTTGGTGCAAAAATAAACAAATAAATCTGACTCCTGTGCTATGCAAATTAAGAAAAAAAAATATCAGGCAAGGCACTTACTCAATGACATCACTCCAATGGCTTGAATTGCATTTGGCTTGAAAAACTCCCAAGGAGTGGAATCCGAAAAAGAAAAAAACATACGGTCCTGAGAAGCTTCAGTTTATTCCGCACTGAATTGATCAAAATGAGCAGCAAAGTGGAAAACACATGCTACAAAATCGAGGACTGTTAAAAAAAGAGAGTGAAAGGGGTGGGGGGGATTGGGATTTTTTTCCTGTGGTGCTTCAGGCTAATGAATGCTACAACTGTCTCTTTAGCCAATACAGACACGCTTCTGTGCAGGATTTTCCTTGCTGCATCTGAGGGCTTTTTAAGAGACAACAGTGGCAACTATTGCCTCACCCTTGGGGTTAGCGGTACTGCTGACATACAGTGATGCAGCTGGGGGGGGGGGGAAAGCACACAGAATGTGTAGAAGTTCAAATTAACATTTAATCTCTGAACTTCTTCTTGTGAATGTAAACCCATTTAGTAGGGAGCAAGCCCCATTGATTCCTCCTGGGGATCTCGCACTCATGTTGTGAGCACAACTGGGGAAGGGAAGCAGCCACATGAAAAACGATAGGACTGAGAGAAAGCATGCTGTGGGAAACTGCAAAGAGAGAAAAATCTGGCACATGAAATCTTTAGGAAATGGTACAATTCAACTAGACTAGACCTCTGATCTGGTCTATTTCACCCATCGCATGTGCTGTGTTTCGGTTATCCAGGGTTGGAATAGCCCACAGTTAGTTGGTTTCGTGCAACATGCAGAGACATAAGTCATTGTTTATAAACCTTAACAGTTAGGTTTCTACAATATATAACAACAACAACAACAACAATAGAGTTAGAAGAGACCTTGGAGGTCTTCTAGTCCAACCCCCTGCTCAGGCAGGAAATCCTATATCATTTCAGACAAATGGTTGTCCAGTCTCTTCTTAAAAACTTCCAGTGTTGGAGCATTCACAACTTCTGGAGGTTCCAGTTATTAATTGTTCTAACAATTTTTGTTTTGAAGAACTTTCTCCTTAGTTCTAGGTTGCTTCTCTCTTTGGTTAGTTTCCATCCATTGC